GTATGCGTAGGTATATGGATGTGGAAGAGGCGAGAAAGGTATGTCAGGATCGTGCTAAATGGAAGTCTGTAGTCTCTGCCTACCCCTCTGGGTGACAGGCGTGAGTGTTTATGTGTTACTGTTACATAATACATACATATTATGTAACAGTAACTTATTTGTTAAATTAAAAAGCAAGAGATAACCTTTCTAAATAAGCTTCATATCTAACAAAACTAAACTTTTAAACAGCAGTGTATTTTGTATGATTCCTGGAGTGTATAATCATTTACCCAACTCTCTGCTTGAAATTTCAAATAACAATTTATTTAAATAAGTGAGGACACTACTTTTAGAAAAATCATATTATTCGGTAAGGGAATTTCTTGAAGACAAATTATTAGATGAAGTATCGTTACTGGCTGAGTGGTACTGTGACATTAATTAGACATGTTATGTGACATTTAATTTACAAAGTTAACATTGTGTATTAATTAGGTAATCTTATTTGACATTAATTTAATAATTATTTAGACACTGTAATATAATTTATATGCTATAGTGTAAATTAAAATAATAATTTTAATTTACACTATAGCATATAATTGAGAATTTTTTCATGGCATGAGCCTAAATATGGCGATGTAAATTGACCACTGCAACACCATTTATACCCATATTGCGCAAATAAAGAATTAAATTGAAATCGAAATATACTTGTCCGTTCCCTTTGTTCACAATTTTTAATCAGGCAGTCCTAGCATTTATATAATATCCTATCCATGTCCTAGCATTTATATATATTTATAAAATGCACAGTCGATTGCACTATGCTGTGAAATTGTCTGCACACGCTCGCTCAGTGATTTATTTTCATAACCTTCAAGCAAACAGAACTTGTTACGACAAGCTCAAAAAAGCATCAGCTCATGTTTTCATATAAACGTAAAAACCTCAAATAATTAAATAAAATTATCGATTATTGCGATTATTTAGGTTAAAAGTTGCCACTTTTCCGCCTTTTTGATTATCCCACAGTAACGGCATATAATTAATGGAGTAAGTTATTTTGTAACCTCTGATTTTAAATATTTTGGAAATTACTATAAAAACTTTCGTACAAAATAATAAATTATACTTATTTTAGTTTATTCATGAATGATCTTTTAAATATATTTTATTACCTATTTTATATTAATAATTTTATAATGATTATAATTTTATTTTTATATAAACTTTATATTTTATATAAATTATAATTTATTACCTATTTTATATTGTTTGATTTATTAGTACAATAAAAATACTTATAAAAACTATGTTTTATTTCATCAGTTATACTAACTTTTATTCACCTGATAAAAAATATACTTTTTAAAATAAAAACACTCATCACGCCGCCAAAACCAAATATTCGCACTAATTATGGAAAAAGTGCCGTAAAATTTCCGGGAGCACACTGAGCGTAGTTATATAATAAACTCCCTTCAACTATAAAAGATGCAAAGTCGCTCAATATTTTCAAGAAAAAGTTATTAGATCACAATAAAAAAACAAGACATTATATAACTTGGACCACCGTCTTATATTATCAATACTTGAAACATCGCTCTTACGCAGCTAACTTGCAACTATATCTAATTTTGATCTACCCTAATTTATGTTTACTATTTTATTATATTGTTCTGTGTGATTTATTCTAAATTGTACGAATGTACTCATGTAAGTGACATTAGTCTTAATGAGTAAATAAAGATCTTTAAGGCCGAATACGAAGAGAACTGGCGAAAATTAATGTATTTCTCTTGACTAGAACTTTGACCTGAAGTAATTCTAAGCGTTAAAACATTTTTGTAGGTTTGTTCGGGTCCTTCACAATGTCACCGTCATTTTAAAATTTTAAAATAAATGAATATACCAACAAATAAAAGAATGTTAAGAAATGATATATAAAATTATTGTTCTTCCAAAACTCTGTGAATTTTAATTTAGGAAAAATTCTTTAACGTAAAAATGTTTGTATTGTAATTCCGAAGGTACCTGCTATCTTTATTTTCGATACAAAATATTATTTATTAACATAATTCGTTTTAATTAAAAACACCTAATAATAATATCGTATATTGCCAGATAAAAGTTTGCCGTAATAAATTACCAGGCGCTTCGACGTGTGACGTAAGGTAACAACAGTCGATGTGTCTGTAGAGAAAATCGTTAATTTATTGTTTTATACGCGTTTAAGTGTCTATAAATGTAAATATGGATAGGAAAAGAAATAAATGTTACCTAAGTGGTAAAACAAAGAGAGTTTATCGCATGAACGCTGCTCGAATGTTGTATTTTGAGGTTAATACTTATATTTAGTAAGGTAATTTTTTGTTTGAGGCTGCCTAATAGGTTGCATTTTTACTCATTTACATTAGCCAAACTGATCATTTATACTTTTCTAGTTTCAAGTGAGAAACACTAAAAATGTAAAATATCAAGACCCAGTCGGAAAAGAATGTACAGAGTAGTGCAAGCACAGAGACCGCAAATAATGTCAGTCAACAGTATTGTCCGAAAGCATGGGGTAAAAGTACATAATTAAGAAAAACAGAAATACTTCGGATGTGAAGTGATTGACCAGTCGGAGTAGTCTTGTGAGAATTTACATACACAGTACCTATCCCCACTATGGGGCAATCACCGACTTTTTAGTTTTTTTTCTTTATTATTTATGCAATTTGCATTACGGCATCTTGTAAGACTCACAAGAACAAACATTTTCAGTTATATGAGATTCTTTACGTACGATGCACCAATTAAGAAAAAAAATCGTTATCAATTCAATAACTTTTCGAACAATATTTTATAACGAATAAAGTACAGAATTTATAATCTATTGGAACTAATATTATAAATAAGAAAAATTTATTTAAGAAGTAAGCAATGCTCTCTGTGTTGTTCATTACTCTGCATCTGAGCTAGTTCAGTCAAATATAATCAAAGCCCGTACGGCTTTGATTATAGGTATTATACATGTCTATATAAACAAAGCGTAGGTACTGGCGGCGCGTGGTTTGCTGCGAAACTAGCAAGGTCATTCGCGTCGTATTCGGCCTTAAACCGATTACATATAGTGAGCCACACCAACCCGCTATTACATGTTTGCTGTGTCTATCTTTATCTAATCTTAGCGACGGTATTGTATTCGCAACTTGTGTAAGTGAGACAGATATATGTCTATTTAAAATGTTTAATAATTTCAAAGCTACGTCGTCGAGGTTGGATAGTGATTACACTTTTTTTGACGCGCGGTAATATGGTTTGCTCCTCTAGGTTTGTATAATTCAATGGCTAAATATAATTGAATTGTGTAGGTACTTACATATTGTCTCAAAATTATGTGAGTAAACAGCAAGACTAAAAACAATTAATTTGAATACCTATCAATTTACGTAGAATAGTTACTAGGCGACAACCGACAACGACACAACAGAATAACAAAGCGAAAGCAGTGAAAACTTTGACATTACAGTTCACATTGACAATTAAGTTTGGCACACCATAATTATATTTTTTTAAGTTATCGATGTGTTTAAGAATTCTGAATTATTCAAAATTTTAAACCTTTAATAGGAAATGCAAGACTTAGTTGATATTGATTTCGCAGGTTCGCATTGTTCACGAGTTCCTATTAATCGATTATGGGTTCATTGACGTTGATGTTTCGATGTTTGACATGTGGCAATACCGATGTTAAAACATCGATGTTTAAATTTTTAACATCGATGATCATCGAACATCCCTAATACTAGATTACTATTTTGTACACAGAACACTGCAGAACTCACACAGCATATCCTCTTAGTAGTCTGTGACACACAGTCTGTGGTAGGCATGTCAATTTAGTCTTAAAAAAATCGATATCTGAATCGATTTGAATCGAAAACACGAGAATCGATTATCGATTAAATCGAGGATTAAAAGATCGATTTTCGATTAATCGAGACATTTTGAAAATTGAAATTTCAAGAATTTGCGATTTTTTCTTTAATTGAACTTTAATAATTTTTTTTAAATAAATATTAGTATTATATATTAATTCACATTATTAATATTCCTTTTAACCACTCCTGGTAAGCTTGAAACGCTTGCGGTATCAGTGGTTCGCACATAAGCCACTCGATCCTTTTTTTTACAAAGTGATTTCATGTATCACTTTTATTTGACATTGTAGGCTAGAAGCAACAACAATACTTTAACGAAAGTTCAAACTGCAACGTACATTTCTCAATAAATCTGTTTCAATCTAATAACTCACTATTTATCAAATTGAAGTGAATGATACACGAACACAATACTGGTTATTTCCTTACTATATACCTCTATAAACTTCAACATACAATATTTAATGATTTCTTAAATTTACGCGAACACTACACATTGAATAAAACTATTATTTACGGATTTTATCGCGTTTAATTACTTTAATTTATTTAAATGGTGAATCTCACCATCATCCTTCACAGTTAGCTACCGTGGGTAAATCTTTGTTTCAGAGAGCACGAGGGATCTGTGACAGAAAACATCTGGCCGCCGAACTTCAGCATGTCAAGCAAGTGTTGCAAGACAACAAGCTTCGGATCCCGCGCCTACGTCACAGTGACCGAGTGAAGCCGGCCACAGTCGAGCGTGTGCCTGCTGTACTACCATATCTCAGAGGAGTCACAGACAAGGTTGGCTACATCTTGAAGCGAGCTTCCATTAAAACATACTACAAGCCGCCGAAGAAGATTAGTCAATTTTTACCATCCGTCAAGTGTAATATCCCTCTACAACAGGGTTTCCCAACCTTGTTTTTCTTGAGGCTCCCCTGACTATTAATAATATTTTCATGCCCCCCCCCCCCTTTACTTTTACAATAAATACAAAAAATGCACATTATGTACTTAAAAGTCTTTATTTTTATAGAGATTTTAATTCTAATAAACAAAGTTTATTTTTTTTCAAAAAATTTAATAAAATAAGAGTAGGTATTAATGAGACACTTGAGCTTGCATGTTCTGTACCAGTTGGTTGATTCTAGGTTCTGTTCTTGCCAGAGCTATCATCAGGTCGTTACTAACATCAAGACGATTTCGCTGTTTAGTTTTAATTAAAACTAGAGCCGAAAAGCCTGTCTCACACAAGTAAGTTGAAGAAAAAGGAATTAGTACTCGTAAAGCAAGAGAGGCAAGTTTCGAATTAACAGGCAATCTTTTGATCCAAAATTTCTCCAATGTCAAAAGATGGAAGTCATCTTTCATGGACGAATCAGCTTTCATTTCTAGAAATTCATCCTGAATTTCTTCTGGTAATTGTAACACATCGACAACAAATGGATTTCTTGTCATGTGCCATATTGGTGACTCTGAATCGATGTCTCGATAGTATCGGCGAAATTCGTCTTCCAGCGCTTGTAAATGAGTTTTTATGTCAGCTTCCAAATTTGCGTCTAGTTTGTTATTTTTGATTGCTTCGAACAGCCGAGAAAAAGATATAACATTTTCAGAAGACAATTTTTTATTCCAAAGTTGAAGCTTTGCTATGAACCCCTGAATATAATCATAATTGCTTATAATAGTGCCGTTTCTGCCCTGAAGTTTCAAGTTTAGCTCATTCAAGGCACCAAATATGTCAGTTAAATAAGCCAACATACATTGAAATGTGTCATCTTTGAACATTGTAAGCAAATCGTGTTTTTCTTTGAACTCAAGAAAAAGAATTACCTCTTCTTTCAATTCATAAAGGCGAGCCAACATGTTGCCTTTGGACAGCCAGCGTACTTCTGTATGGAACAGAAGAACTTTGTGATCAGAATCAAGATCCTCGCAAAGTAAAGTAAATAACCGACTGTTCAAAGCGCTGCTCTTGGTGTAGTTTACAATCCTTATAGCCGAGTCCAAAGCCTGGCGTAATTTCTGTGGCAATGTTTTGGAAGCCAAAGCTTGTCTATGAATAAAACAATGTGTACTAACCATTGCGGGATTTTTTTCCTTGAGCTTTATAGCTAAGCCCGATCGTACACCTATCATTGCAGGTGCGCCATCTGTGCAAAGTCCAATGAGCTTATTCCAATCCAAATCATTTTTTTCAACAAAATTTGATATTGAGTTAAATATATCTTCAGATGTAGTACCCGCTGTCAAAGATTGAGAGTACAAAATCTCTTCTTCAATGATATCTCCGCCGATGTAACGAACATAAACTATTAACTGTGCACAATTAACGATGTCGGTGGATTCATCGCAACTAATGGCGAAAAATGGCGATAATTTTACTTTGTTAATTATTTGTGCCTTAATGTCTGCTGCAATGTCATCGATTCTACGCTTGACTGTATTATTGGAAAGAGAAATAGACTTCATTTTTTGCTCTGCATCTTCTCCTAAAATTATCTGCGTGGCTTTTAGGACACATGGTTTTATTAATTCTTCACCGATAGTATGAGGTTTCTTTTGCTTTGCTATCATAAAAGCTATTTCAAATGAAGCTTTGAGATGCTGCGATACACCTGTGTGATAACTTCCCGATTTATCCAATCTCATCCGCTTGAGTGATTCTGCTTTAGAAGAAAAAAACTCTTTCGTCTTCAAAAGCAGAGTAGGATGTTGTTGCTTTAAATGCCTTTCAAGGCGATTGGGCCTCATGCTATCATTACTTAAAACTTTCATACATATCACACACTGAGGCAATTGTAACTCGTCTTTTTCTATGAAAGTAAATCCAAACTTAATGTAATCTTCGGAAAACTTTCTTTTTTTCGCTGCCATTTTGCACCTATAACAATAAAACAAATAATCAGTCACATTGGCTGATTTATGAACGCGTCTCCGCTCTATCACCAATTTAGTAAATTAAATAAAAATGGTGAGTGATGTTTGTAAATACACAAACTTACCTTTTAACAGTGAGACACAATAATTTTGCACACTCAAACTAATTTTTCAACAATAAATGTACACCGAAACGTCAAATTTGTTGCAAGTGCAGGAATGAATTTCACAGATGCTTATGCGCGTCCGGAGGTACTCAATTGTTTTCTAAACTGATGGATGAATGTTAAGGGGAGCGGGTGCCGCGGCGGGGGTGCGCGCGGGTTTCATGTTGTGACTTGTCGAAACTTATATAAACTGCGATTGACGACGTCGGGTTTTCGTCGGGGTCAACTGGTTGACAGAATAAATAAGTGAATAGGTATTATGTTTAATTGTATTATGTTGTATGTTGTTTTTTTTCCTGTTTACCACCTTAGTGATAATAAAAAAAAAGGAAATGCAAACGCTTTGCGCCCCCCTTGACATATCTCTATGCCCCTCTTGGGAGGCGTACCCCCCTGGTTGGGAACTGCTGCTCTACAAGATGCAGGAGTGTACAAGTTAGATTGTGAATGTGGTCTCTCTTACATAGGTCAAACAAAAAGATCCATAAAAACCCGCGTGAAAGAACATATAGCTGACGTGAAGCACCGACGCTCCGGGAAGTCTGCAGTCTGTGAACATGTTCAGGATCGTCCCCACCATTACATCAGATTTGGTAAACCACAAGTCCTCGCAAAAGAATACCGATTCCTACCAAGGATGATACGTGAGGCTATTGAAATTAAAAAACATCCTAATTTCAATAGAGAAGATGGTTGGGTGCTGCCATCTGCTTGGGATCCTATAATTAACAAAATTAAACCCAAACTCAAGCATACCACTGCAAGACTTCAAGATACTGTAAGTTCGTTTTGCGTAAATCGGACCAAAAATTAATATTCAAAAACTGAAGGTAGCCGGGCTAACAATGACATTGGGACGTCAAACATCTCAGTCCCCCCTGTGACCATGGGTGCTGTAAAGCACCCGAAACGTCGGGATAATAATAAAAATAAATTAAAGTAATTAAACGCGATAAAATCCGTAAATAATAGTTTTATTCAATGTGTAGTGTTCGCGTAAATTTAAGAAATCATTATGTGAACCAGTACGGACTGGTAATAGCAAATAAAATTCGCCGATTAGAAGATCTTAAAACCAAGCGCGCAAGATATATAACATCTTTAAATTTCTTGAAGAGATGCAGAGACCATAATCTCATTCCTACGTGTGTCAAAATATCAACAAAAAAGGACATTCGAGGAAGCGCTAAGATCCTAAATCAGGCAAGTAAAAAGTTGTTACGAACGGTGATTCAGCAGAAACGGTTAGATTTACATTTCATAAACAACACCATAGACAATTTGTCCAGTGAACTAAAGACAGTTTTAACGACATTTGATTTTAATAATATCATCGAAACTTTAAACAAACGAGAAACATCAAAATACAACGAATGCAAAAATAAACAAATAGAAAAATACCAAAAATTAACGATCAAATCAAATGTCAACCATCTAAATCAACGTCAGAACGAAACACAACCGTTGACCACAGACGTAAACAACAAACAACGCACGGTCTATAATCTGTCAATACATACACTGGACGAACCGACAACAAAGGTGTTAGTGAAGGGAATGAACTTCGCATTAACACCGCGAAAAATCCCGTACGAAGAAATTATCTGCAGTGTTGAGGATTGTCTGTTTAAGAATAATATCGGTAAGGAAGATTTGGAAGCTATACGTCAAGATATTTCGTCCTTGTTACGTCGTAGTACAGTGCCGAAACCAAACCTTCCTAAAGACGAATTTACAGTGTTGATTAACTTACGGAACAGACCAGAGTTAACGATTCTCCGCGCGGATAAAGGAAACGCTACGGTAATAATGGACACGTCAGAGTATAGTTTTAAAATACTACAGCTTTTATCGGATGAAAGTACCTATAAAAAGGTCAAAACAGACCCCACAACTAACACGCTTAAAGCAACTAGCGATTTAATAAAGAAATACTCCGAAAAATTAAATCTCGACGTGACTTCGCTAATACCATCCTGTACCAAACCACCGAGGTTGTATGGGTTGCCGAAGATACACAAACCAAACGCTCCACTACGTCCTATAGTGAGCCAGATCGATTCACCAACTTATAAGCTGGCACAACACTTGGCAAAAATACTGGCACCACTGAGAGGACATACCAGAGCACACACAAAGGATTCATACCATTTTGTTAGTGAGATAAAAGACCTACATCTCGCTGATAATGAAACTATGGTCAGTTTTGATGTTCATTCACTATTCACATGCCTACCTATTGAAGACTGCATCTCAATTGTAACTAGGAAGCTAGAAAATAACAACATGCCTGCTGAATATGCAGTATTACCTAAACATTGCCTCACATCTGGCTATCTATTGTGGAAGGAAGAGTTCTACAAGCAAGTAGATGGTGTGGCGATGGGCTCACCTCTATCTCCCATAGTCGCCGACATATTCATGGAGGACTTCGAAGAGAAGGCCCTTCTTACTGCTCCTGTAAATCCAAGATTCTACAAGCGGTACGTAGACGACACTTTCACAATTTTACCATCTGACAAAGTAACTGCATTTTTAGACCACCTTAACTCTATAAACTCTAAAATACAATTCACAATGGAGTTAGAGGCAAATAATTCTTTAGCTTTCCTAGATGTTTTAGTCATTCGAAATCCTGATAACACTATTGGTCACACTGTGTATAGAAAAAAAGACCCATACCAACCGATATTTAAATGGTGAATCTCACCATCATCCTTCACAGTTAGCTACCGTGGGTAAATCTTTGTTTCAGAGAGCACGAGGGATCTGTGACAGAAAACATCTGGCCGCTGAACTTCAGCATGTCAAGCAAGTGTTGCAAGACAACAAGCTTCGGATCCCGCGCCTACGTCACAGTGACCGAGTGAAGCCGGCCACAGTCAAGCGTGTGCCTGCTGTACTACCATACGTCAGAGGAGTCACAGACAAGGTTGGCTACATCTTGAAGCGAGCTTCCATTAAAACATACTACAAGCCGCCGAAGAAGATTAGTCAATTTTTACCATCCGTCAAGTGTAATATCCCTCTACAAGATGCAGAAGTGTACAAGTTAGATTGTGAATATGGTCTCTCTTACATAGGTCAAACAAAAAGATCCATAAAAACCCGCGTGAAAGAACATATAGCTGACGTGAAGCACCGACGCTCCGGGAAGTCTGTAGTCTATGAACATGTTCAGGATCGTCCCCACCATTACATCAGATTTTGTAAACCACAAGTCCTCGCAAAAGAACACCGATTCCTACCAAGGATGATACGTGAGGCTATTGAAATTAAAAAACATCCTAATTTCAATAGAGAAGATGGTTAGGTGCTGCCATCTTTGGGATCCTATAATTAACAAAATTAAACCCAAACCCAAGCATACCACTGCAAGACTTCAAGATACTGTAAGTTCGTTTTGCGTAAATCGGACCAAAAATTAATATTCAAAAACTGAAGGTAGCCGGGCTAACAATGACATTGGGACGTCAAACATCTCAGTCCCTCCCGTGACCATGGGTGCTGTAAAGCACCCGAAACGTCGGGATAATAATAAAAATAAATTAAAGTAATTAAACGCGATAAAATCCGTAAATAATAGTTTTATTCAATACAATATTTATTTACAGTATCTAGGTATTTAAAAAGTACTCTGTCTGTACTTACAGCTCACAGTATGTATGTTTCTGATAATAAATAAAGTAAATTCACGAGTTCACAGTTCAAACAGGTTCACAGCTATAATATTATATTGTAGTATGTATATGTAGTCTTTGTTCACAGCACAGATTAAGTTAGACCAACATTCCACAGGTAAGATTAGAATTAGAATTTTAGAAATGAAAATGAAATGATAACTTTTCGATATTGTTGGATGCGTTAAATATTTATTTTATTCAAATATATATTGAGTTCAAATTATCAACCAAGTACGACCGGTTGTTTTTGCGTCCCCAACAGCAAAAATTAAAAAACTGCGGTATTTGACCCCAGCCAGTTTGGGAATTTTATCGCTAGTTCTTGAATCAGATGAATCAGAACGATTCGAGAGGTTTTTGGATCGATTCAGTGAATCGATGCGGTGCTCCGAATCGATCTAAAAATTTATTTTACTCCAAAGAATCGATTATTCGATTAATCGATTTAAGATCGACATGCCTAGTCTGTGGTCTGTGCAGAACATAGATTACTGTATATATACTAGGCAGAATCCTATCGGAGATTTTGGGTATGTTCCGAAATACAACGCACGAAATACTGTCCAATGCAAATGACGTATCATTTGACACTTTATTGTACTAGCGTGCCGCCGCAATATTGTGTCGGATATCCGGCCATAATAAAACAATTTTTAATTGTGTGTTTGCCGAATGAAGCATGCCAAAATTTGTTTCTATTTATTCAAATAAAAAAAAATTATAGAATAATTGATGGTATATCCATTAGGTGACCCATGATTTTTGGAGCACAAAATGACAAAATAATCGCCAACACTTTTCCGAATGGCGCAAAAGTATGACGTCATATACTGTCCAATGTTTTGGAACGAATCACCAGTATAGCGTCGATTCATGACGTCATTTGCATTGGACAGTACACTGCGTTGTATTTCGGAACGTACCCTTTATAAACTGTTAATATTTATTTAAAAAACAGACTTGGAATTGAGAGGATTGTCAACTGAACGTCAATAACGGTTTTACGTGTTTTTGGTGTCATTTTAATTATTTTAAGTTTTCTTGTAATATTCTGATTACATTCCTTATATATTTTAGTATATATTAATAATATTTATCTGCATTTTCATATTGTATCTCATTTAGCGACAATTTCATACTATCACAA